CGGAGAAGGACCCCGGTGCCCATTGGATAGGAGGCTGGGTGGGCCCCAGAGCCGGTCTGGACGCAGAGGCTAGAGGGAAAAAAAAAATTCTCTGCCCCCGTCGGGGATCGAACCCCGGTCGTCCAGTCCGTAGCTAGTCACTATACTGACTGACCCATCCCGGCTCATGTATCGATATATCGATGCGGTGTTTAGGTTATATTCTTATTTCGTATTCAGTAATTAAATGTGACCGGAAGGCAAGGTTGCCCACTGCCGCGTCATTTTGTCTCCTCAAAAATTCAGTAGTGATACTCAACCTATTTTTCGATACAGTGTTACTTATGCAGTTGGAAATTTTCGTTAAATGAAACAACTATCAAGATGAAGTGTACCTGTGGCCACACAAAATGACGGCGCTAGCTATTTAAAAATCTGGTCGGACGGCGGAGGGAAGGAAAAGTGTGTACATTTTGTAAATATTTAAATTTAAATTGCGCCATGAATCAAACCATTTGGTTGTGTTTCTGCATGAGAGATTGCACTGAACTCGACAAGGAACAATCGACCTTGCTTTCTGTTAATATCGTTTTTCTTTATAACCTTGCCTGCCTGATTCATACCAATTCTGTTGCTGGGGTATGGCGCCCCATGACACCTTGTGGTGGTGTATTCCCCGGTCTGTTTTTTTTAATTCTGTTCCATTCTGAACTTGAGGTGGTACGTATTAGTTATGGTTCCTATGTGTTCCTTACTGCGAAAAGTTTTGCTGGGATTTATAGCACGCGCGGCATAGTTAGAGCTTGCCGTACTAGCCTGGCTGAAAATATTAACTGGAAACAAAGTAGTGTTGCCCTCAGGATATGTTGTGTTCTAAGTTGATTTGTGTTATCTTAATTTTCTATGTACCAGTACAGTTATAATATTTACTGGATTGCGGTCAACTGGGTTATGACTTTATGTAGAATACCACACGGCGCAACATCCCAGAAGACACCTCTTTCCCATTCCCGTTAAATATTCTCCGCTAAGGTAGAAGTTACAGATATTTTCTGGCTGCTGTATAAAAATGTGAATGCATTGTGATTCATGGCCTACAGACGGTATCTTACGACTGTATTGAGTTACACGTGAATACTCGTACTTTCTCATTATCGTTACGGCCGTGATCCCGCTCGTCGGCATTGCCGCGTCGTGTGTCCAGGCACAGCCGCGAAAAGGAATCTCTCCATGGCGAGAGAATTTTGAGGCCCGTTTCTGTGCATAACATAAGAAATGGTTAATTAAGATTCGTAGGTATTACAAATAAAATTGATCTCTGCTCCACTGGTTCATTAGTTTATCGCCATCAAACCGAAAGCTAAGTCTAGAATTCGCTCGGCCCTCTGTTGGTTCACATTGTGCAAAGAAAAGTTCGTAATAAAAAGTTCCTTGAATTTATGAATCGCCCAGGAAAATGTTACTTGCAACCAACATCTTACACCAGACATTGGCCTAATTGCCCTCAGCATTCTCTCAGTTGGATTAAATCATAGAATTAACTGTTTCCGGCCAAATGCCGTGATCGATTATCGCCTTCATAACCGGAGTTAAAATGTACGGCGTAACATTATCGGCACATGCTTTACAAATTCTTATTCCTGTGGTGTAGCATTTATTGTTTCGGGGGATTAGCGAGTACGCTGCAGGAGTGTGCCTAGGCTGCACGAATTGCAGGTGAGGCGGAAAGGTTGCCGCACCAGGGGTACTATTGCAGTATGGACCAGTAGCTGTTTTCATGCTGTAACCAACCGAGGGCCGGGGGTTAAACCATCTCATTACCAGAGCAATCCTAGCGGAGAGACCGCCCAGGGGCCCCTCGCATCGACATCACGAAATATCGATAGTTTTTGTGCACCGTCAAAGTTTTGAGATTAGCAAAAGTCGTATATTGTTCTTTGAATTCCAATTATTGCTGAAACGAAATCTGTGCTAGTCCAACATTCTTTCTATTTCATAATCCACTAATCGGCCTATTATTCGACAATTGTAAGTGAGCAGTTGAACGCGGAATTAAATAAACCAGAAATAGAATTACAAATTGCGGTTCTGTTGGTCGTGTGTCGTGTGTGTGGCAGGCAGGTACATTCCTCGACTGCTCCGTCTTTATTTCTGGGCTCGCCAGACGAGGCAGTCGGTCTCGAGATATTTTTGATGCTCTCCCCGGGCCGGATCTAGCGGCGACGGAGAAGCGTGTTTCCATGTGATGTAATATTTCCAGTCACCTTTAGGAAACAACTGAAGCAAGTGATGTATGTATGATTTTGAGACGCGTAGAATCGATTTTTATACAGGATTATAAAAGGGCTTTAAGGCGGCATAGTACTCAACCGCCACGGTGGTCTAGCGGTTAGAACGCTGGCCTTGTAATCCTGGGGGTCTCGGGTTCGATTCCCGGCGGTGCCCGAATTTATAACTTGTGTTGGGCAAGGCCGTGGTCTAGGCAACACGGAGTTTTCCTCCGTGGCATCCCAACAATTACTCAATTCACACACAGAAGAAGGCAATGGCAAAACACTTCTGGATCATCTGCCAAGAACGTATATGAACAGGTCCCAGTCCGAGAAAAGGATGGAAGGATCCTGTTCATATGGACCTGTCGTCAGACAGAACTCTAAATAAATAATAAATCCTTTGTTACTTGGAATTAGGATCCGACAGATGAGATACTGAACGAACACAGTAGCTCACAGTAAGCGTGAATCCCTTAGGCCATGGACTTTGAATCTCTTAGCAAGATGGAAATGTAAGCATATAAAATGTGATTCCGTATACACTTAATTGCGATGGGGAGGCAGTATTAATTTTGGTTTTGGGGGAAGCAGAGTGATAATTTGTAAAATTGCTGATAATATTGCGCTAACAGCGTGCGTGGGATATTTTAGAAAATCTGTTTTAGCTCATCTAGTCAGTAAACTCCTAACTTTTATGCAACCCAAACGTTCGTTACCATATCCACAAAAGCCCGCCTGCGGATTCTTCTGAGCCAATTGAGTAGAGTGCGTACCTTCACATTCTGTCTCTAATATCGATTATTTATTCTCCCGTATATGCCAGTGTTTCCCAAGGGATCTCATCCATTGAAGTTTTCTGATTTAAATTTTGAATGCATTTCTCTTTTCCTATATCCTATATGCTCCACACACATCATCTTACGTGATTTTATAACCTTTACAATATTAAGTGCAAGGTACACATTAGAAAGAAAGAAACCTGCCAAAATCTGAAATTGATTTGTTTTTCAGAAAAAATCAAAACGCATTGTAATCAGTAACAGAGTTTGAAAAATTATCAGAAGTGATTTCAAATTTATATATGTACTTTCTGCACTGTATACAAGTAACATGAAATTGTACACTACATTAAATATTTACTTTGCTAGTAATTTCCACTAATTTGAAGCAGGGCATGCTTAAAATATATCAGTATTATAAAATTGTAATAAGTTTTAATTTTTGTAGACATCGTCCACTTTTTTTTTGATAAACACATTTTCAAAACTGGGTTCATTTGGCTCAGAATATGGCCCACTTGCAGGATTTCTGTGATGAACTGTCATATTCCATAATGACAGGAAATAACTGCCCTGTACCCAAGGATAATGTTAAATACAGCTTGTCCTCTTTAAATTCTTGAAGTAATAACATTATGATATTATTGTAAATGTATATGCTGTGACATCTTGCAATTTGTGTAAGATTCCTCCCTTAGCTTTTTCATTGGTCGGTGGCTTGGAGATCGACATGCGCGCATATGGACTGGAGCAGTCTGAGCAAACGAACCTGTTCCAGTCCACAGCACTGTATCTTGTAGGTCATCATTTATCATAGAGAAGGAATGTCGGACAGTGGTCACACCTCCGGTCACTGTTGCAGGAGCACAGGCCTTCTCCCGAAAACATCCGATGTCATGCTGGCTCTCCACCATGCTTGTGGTGTTTGCTGGAGGGATGCTCTGCAATGGCCTTCTCGGGGAGCCTGTCCTTGCCCCACTGAAGAACACGCAACAGTTGGTCGTTGCTACCGTCGTGTGGTGAGGTTCCAGTTATTACAATAATTATGATAGTTTCACAAATCAACATCAAATTTAGGATTCCAGTTGCTGTCATGTCTTTTAAGGGTAGGAAATTATAATTCTGTCCCAACAGAACATGAAAGTTCAGTACCATTGCACCTTATCATCAGCAAGTTCTGTTTATCCATTCTTTTTACAGCCAATTTGTTAAAGAACTAGTTTAACCCTCTGACACTAGCCTGAGTAAGCTATACTGACTCTCTTGCTGCCAACGTCAGTAGGAGATACTGACCTATTTAACACCTCAGACCATTCTTCAGAATGTAATGATGTAGTTTTATAGTTTAGTCCTTTCTCTTGTCCTTAGTTACTTATGTGCCTAAACAAAAGAACCAGTTCTGACGCGTTTTAGTTATAACAGCGAGAAGTGTGTACAGTGGATTGCAAATCACTAATTTGTTTTGTGGGTGTGAAGTAGGTAAGAGATAATGAATAACTCTTATATTTAAACAATAAGCTTACGTTCTTAAATGCCTGTGCTCATGTGGATGATATTTACTATAACACTTATTTAGAATATGTATGATATGGTATTTATTTCTATTTCAGCTAGGAGCTTTCAGAATTAAAAATCTGCAAGGAATGCGTGTAAAAAATCTGTGTATTCTGGTATGGATTACGGCTTTGCAGTCGTGTTTATTTTCTGTTTTAGTTTTTGAGTGTCAGTAGTTAACGTTCTGCAGCAGAGATCTTCAGATGCTTATAGTAGCTGCTTCATTGGCTTATTTGATTCACTGGCAGCAAAGCAGTTGATAGTTTCTGCTTGGCGGTGCTTTCGTTCAGATATCTCACACCATTTCCTATGAACGAGTTTCAGTGGTTTTCAGATAATGCAATGATGTGTGCTGTGCTGTTTTCAGGTATGTCATCTTTTATACTCCATTTGACATTGGCTACAAAGCAGCAAAATTTCTGCCAATCAAAATTGCGTGCTCAGGAATGAAAGAAATTTACAGGTAAGTGCAGTCTATTTCCCTGTAAGTTCGAGAAATACAGGTATTTATGTTACAGCTTTTGTTTCTACTTACAAAACTGTGTTAATGTCATTTGCAGTGGTCAGCTTCTAGTCAGAGAGCGTTAGCTCTTCTTACTGGCAGTGTGTTTCTAGATGTTGACATTTAAAAATACCTATATATACGAAATGTTTAGGTACAGATGATTGCCTTACAAATATTCTTACACTGTATTTCCTTCAATTGTGAGACACATGCTTGATTTAGTAATAAGTTTAAAAAAGAAATCTCTATTCATTCTTAGAAGCCATCAAATGTAAGGTGCACTCCGATTTTAGAAATTTTAAAATATGGAAGTAAAATCATAATAATATTAAGGAAGTACATCTCATTTATACCCAATTTATTACACTTTCCATTATGGTTAATGTGCAGCAAAATACAAGTCCTCTTTGCAGTGTAATATTTGTAGTATTTGTGGTGGACTGGTTTGGACCAAATTTATATCTGCATGTGTTTAGTCAGTTTTCTTTAATCCTGAAGGTCCTATAAAATCTATGGCAAACAGTATGTTACGCGTATATACAGGTAGGGCTCGATTTACGCCGGGGATGCGTTCCTGGACGAACCGGCGTAACTGGAATCGGTGTAAATTGGAACTCTTTTATAATGTAAATCAGTGGCAAGTCAATGACATGCATTCCCAGCACCAAAACATTGACGTGTAATATAATGGCATTACGTTTAAAGCTCTGAAATAACATAAATAAAATAAAGGGTACTTAAAAAATATATTTTATACACTTACAATCGGCACTTCGATATTCCCCGTGATTGACTGTGATCTCTGTTCCTTCCGCCTATGCCTTATTTCATTACCTTAATTTATGAACATGACTGTACTCCATTACAGTGAGTTTTACAAAGGCTGTATGTAGTCAAACCAGCAGCTAGCTCTTACTCAGTTGATGAACATCATACATTGCAATAGCACTAGATTTCCATAGGCTGTGTGGAACTGCGTAACGTAAACAATTCTGAGGTCTTTAACATTCAACATCTATCAGGTACCACTTTTCTGTATGGTGAACAGTTTTATGTGCAATAGTACAATTTTCATTGTGTGTGATGTACAGTTTGTGTATATATACTATGTGATTTATTCTTTCTCACAGATGTAAAAAGGTGTATGATGGTGTAACTCATGCAGCAAAGTTATATCCTAATGCATATATAATTATGATTCTCATTGGAACACTGAAAGGTAAGTTGCAACTCCTTCTGCTGGTATGGGTGCCTTACAAAGAGTTTTCTAAGACATTTTTATACAGGTTTATTTTGCTATTAACACTATTAATCTGGTGTCTCATGCTAAGTCTATTGATAAAGCAAACATTAAAGATATTATGATTAATTTTTGTGATTAATCAACCTGATCTTTCAACATTTTTCATTTTCTTCAATTGGTTTGAAGTTAACATGTCGCCTTACACCATTCGTATCTTACCATGTTCATTGCTTGTGGCTTTTCTGTTGCCATTTATTTCAATCTCAGGACTTGTCTTCACCCCAGAAAATCTTTCTGCTGTTCTCTAGTCTATGTCACTTAAGTAGCAAAAAAAAAGCGAGAGAGAGAGAGAGAGGTGATCATTCAGGGGGTCATAACATGGGTGGAGAAAATCATAACCATATTCTTCTACAAGCGAGTTGAATTCGAGTTCAAATGTTTGCAAAGAATGTTAAAATCAATGCAATGTATTTAAGGCACTTTTAACCTGTTATAAAGGAGTAAAATTATTTTCCAAGAACAGTACTTGTACATATAGACACTTGAAGGAGTGAATGTTAGGGAAACAGACCGTTAGACTGGCATATAAGGCCACTATGTAGTAAAAGTTGATCAGATGCGAATGAAGTCAGCCAGTAATAGGAATGTCCATACCTGTCATACGCTGCCAAGTAAAAAGGAACTATTGTTGTGCCCTGGTTTAAGAAGCAGTTTATTTAAACAAAAATGTCAGAGACACTACTGGAAGATTTAAGTCAGCACACTGTTTTTAATAAATTCTGTTGAAATTTTGACAGTTGTGTGTGTTTAGGATAAGTGAAAATCCGTCGTATTCTTTACCACTACAGATTCTCCACCAAAACTTCAACAGGTATTACATTAATTGTTTATAATTGGCATTTATTTTAATAGCTCCAGTTGTGTCAGGATACAATACATTTAAATTGTGTATAAAGAGTTGTTAAATATTTGTTATCCTATATTCAGTACTGGAGATATTTTGCTGTGCAGGTATGGCAATCTTTCCATCGAACTTGACATTTATATGGCTGTGGCTGGCCCACAGGAAGTGCCTTGGGTCCTACACAGTGTTCTTTTTGCAATTTCATGCACTAATAAAGCAGTTTCATTTCACAGGTAATGGTGCTGGTTTTACAAAGCTCTTTGAACGATTAATCAGAGGGGTTTGGACACCAACAGCAATGGAATTCATGCAACCAAGTTTGTAAGTTCAGTTCATAAATGCTATCTTTTGAGGGTAGGCACTTAATTTGTCTTACTATCCACAAATTTAAATACAGTAGATTCCGGTTAATTGGGCAATCGGTTGATCGAGGTAGCTGTTTATTTGGGACAAATCTTAAAGAACAAACCTTTTTAACTCATTGTGGAACTTTGCATAATTGAGCTAAAATGTTCTAGTCCCAGTGTGTCCCAATTAACTGGAATCCACTGTATACAAATTATGCTGTATTTTATGATACTTGTTTTCTTTGTTTTTGTTTAACCCTTCAGTGCTGTCTGACATGTATAGCACATCAGCCATTTTTCACGTGTTCACATCCAACATTTATAATGGGAGTAGTGCAGCAGTAAGACCCAACTCATATTTTGAATTGTTGTTTTAAATTTAAATTAATTCTTGTGGTATTATATCAAAAAGGAATTTATGGGCTTTCAATTTTTGTATGTAAAATCTCACTTTAATTTCCCTTTGGCATGTATGTTACATTATACATATTTTTAAAAAGTTATTTTTCTTACCATCAGAGCCTGTTTGTATGGTGGAGGATTTTCTGAACTAAATTAAAGAAACATATGATCCAAAACAGTGATTGACTGTCTGCATGTTTTCTGTATGTTAATAAAAACAAGAACTTTGTTGGGGCTTTAGAAGCAGTGTTTCAGACAATGCTATTTTCATGTATTTGTAACCATGAGATAAGAGTGAGATATATTTTTTTATAAATTGATTTTGACTCACAATGAAGCATGATGAAAGACTTTGCTTTACAGGAAGGAAAGAATAATATTTCTACAAATGTGTCTACTCTTCTTACCCTGAGTGCTCTGTATATATACATCAATGTAATGTGAAAATTGAGCAGATTCTTCCATATTTATTGCAGTTGAAATGAAATGTTTCATTTGAAGCTTTAATATCTGATTGTTCTCTGTCCTCACTAGTGGGTAAGGTTTAAATGTACAACAGCATTGAAGGGCCGATAATACATCTTTGGTGCTCAATAACAAGGGCTTAAGTCAATACACTTTGTGCCTGACTTAAACCATTTTTACCATCCAGGAATGTAACAGTATTTCAGTATGATATGGACAGTAATTATGAAGCTCCACCTTTAAAGTGTATATAATTTAAACATTGTTTAACCTGCCAATTTCCTGCCATGTAAGTAATGTCCATTCAGGTTACAATGTGTTATTGTATGTATCTAGACTGCAGACAGATATCAGCTAGAGTTTATAAAATTCATATATTTTATAGTCCAAAGAAAGAGTATAAAGTGAGAACTTTCATTAGAAGGTAACCAGATGCTGGTACTCTGCTTATAGACTTTTGTTGGCCCAGGACAGGGTCCGGTGGAGGGCTTTGGTTAATTTGGTGATGAACCTTCGGGTTCGGTAAGCCATCTAGTTAGTTAGTTAGGTAACTACATTATCTACACATCTTTATTTCAGCCCAACAAAAGCCTGTATAGTTGCATCTGTTATATTTGTCCTTGATAAGAAGACTGACCTTATCTCAGCACCACATGCTCTGGTATACTTTGGAATTGTAATATTCTTCGTCTATTTTAAGGTGAGTAATGGATAGTTATTTATATGTGCTAAGGTACTAGACTCCTGTGGACGGCAGATTTTTTCACACTCATCAAGTCCTACAAAGTCTATATTTAAGAATCGTTAGGAATAAACAGAATGCTGCTGTATGCACACACACTCCCACTCAAAGTGGATTCCTTTTTTCATGAAAGGCAATTGAGACCAGGAAGGTCAGAAACCATGCTGGAGTAATATACACAAACAGTACCTGAGATACACTTTATCTTATACTTGTTAATTGGTCATGTATGCACATTTCTGCACATTACCTGTCAGCATCAGATGCATTTCAAGGTGATGGATGGGCACCATCTATGAAAATCTATGAAATTAATGTTGATAGTTTATAGTATTCAAAGTATAAGTAGACATCTGTTGGAATGTAGTTAAGTTGTTAGACCAATAGTGAAATTAGTTTATACTAAACACCATACTCCTAGATGTAATACTTCCAAAGACACATTGATCTAAAATTACAGGAATATATACTTTTTATATGTTGGGTAACATTAATACCACTATAGCTCAAAAATTGTTGCAGTCAGAGATTTAAATTTTTGTCAGTTGAAAGCTCCTTTAGATAAGCTTTAACACAAATTAAACTGCTTATGATCAATGTATTTTCAATGCTAGGTGATTTATGGCTCCATCTAGAACCTACAGTACTAGGTTTAATTCATGTGCATGAGTTAAAAGGTGGATAATTGAGAGTTGGTTGCATAATAATATGAAATATACAATTCCAATGTTGAAGATTTCTGTCTTCTGGGTTGTTGCGCTGTGTAGACTGGTCGATGTTTACCTACGTTTCAGAAGTCATACTGCCTCCATCATCAGGGCGATGATGACGGAGGCAGTATGACCTCTGAAACGTAGGTAAACATCGACCAGACTACACAGCGCAACAACCCAGAAGACAGAAATCTTCATACTCACTGCTGTGAAAACCTCAAATCTTACAATTCCAATGTTAATTCTGTTTATTTTACGATTCTTTCAGAACCTCAGGTAATTTAAAGAACCAAATGATAGGATGATTAGTGAATAATTAATTGGAAAAAATATGAATGCTGTCATGACCTAATTTAAGGCACCATCCCAGCATTTACCTGAAGAACTAAAGAATGCCATAACAACCTCTCAAGATTGCTGTTCTCTGCACTGAAGTGTGAACCTGGGACCTCCCAATTACAAAATAGGGATACTAACCACTTGAATGCAATGTCTTGTAATTTCAGTGTTGTAATGATTTAACTCAGACTGAAGAAATCAGTGACTGAAAATGTTTTGCATAATTTCAGCTGTCTTCACTTCTATTGGGAATACACGATCCATTTGTGCCATTTGAGAACCTGTTCTGCGCACTATTCCTGGGAGGAATCTGGGATGCCCTGGCTAAGCTGCTTGGTCGTGGTGGGAACAAAGACGAAAAAGCAGATGCAAAAAAAAAGGATTAAAATATCTTATTCAAGGTATGTTAAGTTTACAGATTTTAGGGAAGATTTATGCCGAATAGGATGATATATTCAAATGTTTGTATCTGGATTAGGTAAGTATGCTCTGGTCAGATGCAGTACAGAGTGCATTAGATTTTTCTCAGTGAAGGCCCTGACTTTATCATACATATAAGAGAAATACAAGGTAGAATAACAGGAATAAATGTTTTTACAAATTCAAAATTCAGCAACTGTTTGCTCTTTCTCCTGTCCTATGTGGGGTTGTTACTATATTTCTATAGTAATTTTTTGTTCTATTCTAGTGCATGTCGATATTCCAGATGTACTATTAATGCGAGATCTTGTAAACATAAAACTGGTTAAAATACTATGCAACATTCCACCATCTTTATTTCCTTGCACAGCTTCAACATTCATGCCGTGGAATTGAGGAGCAAGCAGAACACAGAACTAGTCGTAATGTTGCATGTCAGAGCACACAATACATCGAGGGATATCTGAAACTCAAACACCATTGTGAAGTAATGAAATTCCTAAGTATGTTATGCATAAACTGTTTTAAATGTTATTTATACAAAACGTTTTGTATACATCCTTTTTATTCATGGTACTGTTGTAATCTACATATATATAGTGTATGTCATACGTAAAATGTATTTTTACTTGTGTCTGAGTCACAAAAATGTATTGCACTGTGTGTATGTGTGTAACATAACACTTTAACATGATTTATCATTTCATTGTACATTAGCTGATCTCAGTGGGTGCAGTTCAGCCATGGAATGAACTGATACATCGTAATTTTAAATACACAGCACATTCACATAGGCTTCGTGTGAATTGTAATTTTAATGTGAACAGATGGTTTTACATTGATTTCCATTATGTATGACATTAACAGTATTTATGTAGAAATATCTATAGTTATAAATTTCCTAATAAAATACATCACCAAAGGCATTATATAACTGGAAGATTATGTAAAGCTTTATTCTGTTTGTAGGATTTCAGGTTGTCATGGTTGTGAGTCCGAAGATGGCTGTCTTCTGGGTTGTTGCGCCGTGTAGTCTGATAGAAGTTTATGAACATTTCAGAGGTCCTGCTGCCTCCATCATCAGGTTGATGAGACTCGCTGCCCTGATGATGGAGGCAGCAAGGACCTCTGAAATGTTGGTAAACTTCCACCAGACTACATGGAACAACAACCCAGAAGACAGCCATCTTTAGTCTATTTTATTAGATAATATAATTAATTTTATTTCCTTCACTCTGTCCAGTACACTCGACATCCAGGTATCATACCAAACCATGCACGATTCCAGCTCATGCAAAACTGTATCAGAGTTACCTTATAAACAAAAACATGTTTCTGGCTGGTTTTAGTAACATGTATTTGTTATGCCAGCTAGAATAGCTGTATCTGGACTCCTCAACAGGCAGAAAGATCTTTTTACATGTCTCTGTGCAGAACAAGAAAATCATGATGCATATTTTTAGCCACTTACTACAGGCTGTTTTATATAGAGATGAACATCAGTTACAGTAAAAGTAAAGTTAAAGGTTGTCCCGCTACGTGCCGTAAAGGCGCTTGGGGTGAGTGGAGGGATAGCTCCTCTCTTTCTTGACCTCGGCACTAGATAGGGGTGAGTTGTCGGCATCATGCCCCGGCCGGCTTTACCCCCGGGAAAGGACCCCGGTACCCATTGCAGAGGAGGCTGGGTGGCCCCCGGAGCCAGTCTGAACGCTGAGGCTACAGGAAAAATCCTCTGCCCCCGTCGGGGATCGAACCCCGGCCGTCCAGCCCGTAGCTAGTCACTATACTGACTGAGCTATCCCGGCTCATCATCAGTTACAGTGATTTAATAATATTATGACATAATCAGTGATTACACAAAGGGGTCCTTTATTTAAAAAACATAAATTGAATTATGCAATATAACAAATGATTATATAATGGATTAAGCATTGTTTACAGTCCACAGTCTTTGTCTTGTCTTCACAATGGCTATCAGTGTCCTCTTTGTGTTCTGTCTTACTGTCCTCATGCACATAATACACTGCATCTATCCTCTTTTGCTCATATTCACCTCACTGTTTTGACAATGGGCCCTCTCTCTGCAGTTCATATTTATATAAGGATGCAGAACAAACTATAAGCTTTGAGGTGGTACAGGGCAGCTGCAGAATGCCCAGCACCATTCCAGATATAGGCAGGCATTCTGAAATAATAATAATCCGTGGCGTAACAGCCCCCTGAGAGCCAAAGGCGACTAGCTGGTTGCTGGCCTCACGTACTCATGCCTAAGCAGAGGTGAACGATCATCCAACCAGATATAGGGTGACGTGTGGTCGGTACGACGAACCCCCAGCCATTGCTAGTTTTCATGACCGGATTACGCTACCCATTGTAGCTCCCCAATTTCCTCACGATGCTGGGTTGGCACCGGTCCCATACACCAGTCAAAAATCTCATGAGAAATTCCTTTCCCTGAGACTCAAACCAGTGCACATTCCGTATCACCGGTCCGAAGTATGATGCCTCAGACAGGATAACACACTGGGATGTTACACTACAGGCTTATAAACATCTAAGTTGTAAATATTTTCTTTTTTCTAGCAGTGTTCTGACTAATTGAACATGATTTTAAATTCCAGATCTGTATGGACATCTTATAATAATTAAGATTATTTGAGAGGTTGAAAGTAATAATCCATGCTCAGATAGTTCTAAGAGAATCAGTAATAGAAACTCTTGTGTTTTTGCTGATTTGGTTAAGTTTTCACAGTTGTGAATCAATTATTTTTGTCTGGTGAAATAAATCATCTGAATTAACTATTGGAATTAGCTAGCAGCTAGGTAGTTCACAGGGTAGATGTATAACAGTGATGTATGCCATAAAAGGCCTGGAAATTAGTTTATCAGCCGAGCTTCTCATTTTAGGCAATGGAATCAGGTAATAGTAGGGATTACAGTGCACACTGAAAGCATACATTTTTATATTACTAAAAAATTGTAACCTCCTCCACATTGCTGGTCTTCTGGGTACCAACGTTTTTGTGAAACATACTGTCTCTTATCTTCAAGGCTGTTAAAACCAACATTCATCACACCACAGGAACACTCCCTTGGTGCATCGTAAGCAAATGTGGTTAGCCTTCAGGCAATGCAGTTTTGTCCTCAGTAGGTTACAGCTCAAGGCAATCCAGTAGTCTGGATTCGAAAATTCTGCATACATAACAGCCTTATCTATACATGTACATCAAACGCATCCTTTACACAATTTGTGTACCCTTTATTGTAGGTTATCTCTGACGCAGTAGGTTATCTATGTTCGTCACTATTTTGGTTACGTTGGCTGCTTTTGAGTAGAACACGTATTTGACCTATATTCATAGGACAATCACACGAGTAATGTTCTTACTCCGAATATTTTATTGTGGGTACTTTTAACCATAGGTTTTGATAACTTTTTAAAAAGAAAGTTATTAAACGCTTAAAATGCCCACGTTATGATATTTCTGAACAATTATCGCTTGTGACCAGTCTCAGTCAGTGTGTGTTCGAGAATGGAAAGTAAATATGTTCTAGCGCTGGATGTTGGGACAACTACAGCTCGTTGTTTCCTTCTTGACCAGACCACCGCGGTAATTGGAAGAGCATCTCATGAGGTAACATTTTTAAATGTGTGTTTAGTCTAGTAAATTTACAAAGTATTCCACGACTTAATCCCGTTTTGATTTCCATTCATTTGTGTGTACTACGAAGGTACATTTACCCTCAATTGATTTCATTGGAACTTTCGGAAGAAGGCCCAATTTAACAAAACGTCGAAAGAAGTGCATTAGCGTATATGAGAAACAAAATAAGATTCTGCAGTTTTTATGTTGCTATATTTTTGCTTGTAATGGTACCTTATTACACTGAATATTCGACGGAGCGGGTTAAGTCTTCAATAACTCGTCTGACTCGTTTGTTTTTCATCGATGGATTTTACATTGATATCGCATATCGACTTTACCATTTCATGATAATATCCTGTCACATCATATCTCTCCAGCTGATAAGAGTGTCGTAAAATAGGCAAAACACATTGAGTAATACCAGTAGCTAATCCTTTTTCTCAGATGTGAATTATGTTTAAAATTGTCCACAGCTAGCATTAGAAGGGTCATCCTTAAGAGTGTGGCAGGGACAAAGTTTAAATGATGGAAAAGTTTTGATCCCTTTTTGTATGCCATAAAATGGCAAGACCAATAATGACCCTAGTACCTAAACCTCAGCTAGTGGTGTGGGATCAACATGACCCACTCTGGTTTTTAAAAGTTTAAAAATAAAGTACTTCATGCTCTCTTTTGTTGGATACATTTTCTGCTCTGTCATCATTGATTTTCGAAATGTTGGTCAAAGCATATGTGCATTTACTGTTTTGTCTCTGAGAATAATAACTTATATTTTGTCTCTGGGCCATACCCCAGCCTACCATTAAGGTAATTTTTCTGTAACATGGAATTTTTTTGTCTGAAATGTATGCAAAACAGCACTTCCATTTATGTCACTTATTTAGGGGGTTGAGGGTTGGACACAGAAGGCCATTCAGGTCTTTTAGGAAATTAAGGGTGATGATGATTATAAGAAAACTGATGACAAATTTGTTTTGAAGACAAAAGTTGTGTGTTAGTGTTTTTCCCTGTATATTGTTACTATTACTACATTAATGCAGGAATGGCATAACAGTTTGAAAAATGAGTCAGTGTCCGATGTTTCGGGTTATGTAGTGGTAACAGGGTTTAGTTGCTGGCCATGGTTCTAACTTTGATGCTAGTCAGAGGTAAAATGTAAATAAATCAATGTGTATAATCACAGTGCCAGAAAAGTGTATGGGGGACATGGAGATAAAGCTTTGCACTTTCTAGACCTTAGAACTTGGTGGATATGAGCTGTCACCTGCATTCTGCAGTTCATTTACCTTTGGAAATAAGTGTATGGTACTAATTAGGTGGCTCTGTTGTCTTCAGATTCAGTCTAATGGGGAAGATAATATCTTACCCTGTTGTGAATTAAACCCTAAGCATCCAGACTTTATAAAATAAATTTACTGGCTGTGATATCCCATCTAAGACACAGACTGTGGTTAGGAGCTGGATCATTTGGTACTCTTCTGCAATTATTAGATTAAAAGTGCAATGTAAAGAAATTGATAATAGTAGGATGAGAAGTGCAAAGTACCTCAATATTTTTAATTTTGTCCCCAGATTAAACACCAGTATCCACAGATTGGACATGATGAAATTGAACCGGAGGAACTATGGACCAAGGTTGTAAGTGTTCTCCGTGAAGCTGTAACCGGTAAGTATTGTGACAGAGTTATCATGTTCGTTGTTTGATCATATTCAAAAACAAAGAGACATTTGCTTTAAAGGAGAGTTTTGCAACAAAGAAAACTGTTTGTGAACACATACGTAGTTTTCATCTTCGCCTTCAGCAAGCTTCATACATTACTATTGTGTCAAAATTTGGTGTTTGCTACACTTATAAGTATTCCTGGTGCAACTCAATTGTTGTTTTAACTTTCAGGTGTTCCTTAAGAAAAATAATTTTATTTCTTAGCATTATTACTTTGCAATTCTAACATTTTGAATGCTTGTAGGAGGTCAGCATGAAAATTGTCCAACTTTATGTATTCTGTGACACACTTTACACTTTTCAAGATACAGGTCTTCAAAAGTGTAAAGTGTTTTTCTAAATGTAAATTTGCCCTGTGTTACAGTTGCAGGCATAAAGCCACACCAGATTGCATGCATAGGAATATCTACACAGCGTTCAACTTTCATCACATGGCACAGAGAAACTGGAAAGCCATTTCACAATTTCATAACATGGAAAGATGTTCGAGCAGATGGATTGGTGCGACAGTGGAATGATTCTCTGAAAATGAAGGTTGGTTTATGATTGTACTGGAGTATCTTGTGCATTTTGTGAGCTGAAGTTTTATGTATTTTTATTGGTGTCCTTACACAACACACAAATTGTTCTTCATGCCTTATATATAACAGTGACTGAACTTTGTGATTTTGTAGGGTCTCCGAATGGGAGCCTTCTGCTGTCACGCTATTTCAAGAAGCAACCGGTTCCTTGCTGGTAGCGTCTTGAAGCTTATGAATTCCCAGGTGATTGTTAGTTTTCAACGTATTTTGACTTTACTTTAATTTGTAACCTTAAGGTATAGATCTCTGAAACCAAGCATTATGGTCAAGTGGTTAGCATTCTTGCTTTTTTTTATTTAGGAGGTCCCAGGTTCAAATCTCATTCTGGAGATCACCTGTCTGAGCTAAGAATTCATGGTAATTCTCAGTCACTACAGGCAAATGCTAAGACGTGTTTCTTTAATTTAATATCGTTTCCAATACAGTGTGTTCGATTGTTCATTTCACAAGATATTTTAGACATTTTCAGTGAGAGATTTCACTGCGGAGAAAAGTGTACCAAGCTTCAGCTTATGATTGGCGATTTCTGCACATTTTATATATTTACAAGTATCTAGTTTTGTGTTAGATTATAAGTTCTTTGTATACTCTGTCCACCAATTAAACGGAGCACAATTCTCTGTCAGGTGACCCTTCGTCTTGTATGGGTACTGGAGAATGTTGAAGAGCTTCAGAAGGCCGTAAAGTGCCATGATGCCATGTTCGGTACCATAGACACGTGGCTCTTGTACAGGCTCACGGGTGGTAGGATTCATGTCACTGATGTATCCAATGCAAGTGCAACTGGTTTCTATGACCCCTTCACAATGGAGTGGGCTAACTGGTGTCTCAGACTCTTCCACATACCCTCTGACATACTGCCAGAGGTATGGGATACTGCTGCTGACTTTGGATGCATCACCAGTGATATAGTGGGTGCTGCCATTCCCATCTGCAGTGTGGTATGTCCCTTGCCAAGATATAATTACTCTGTAGGATTTGATGGCTGGCTTTTGGGCTGTTGTAGTCTGGTAGAAGTTTACCGACGTTTCAGAGGTCCTTGCTGCCTCTATCAATCAGTAAACTTCTACCAGACTACACAACGCAACAGCCCGGAAGACAGCTGTCTTTATAGCTTATATCTTAATTGCATCATGCTTGTGTTCCTCAATACAATACTTTTATTTTCCGTCGTTACACAAGCTTATTGTTAAAAATCATATAAAATTTCACATAAAATTGTTACATTTTAAAATTGACGACATGTTTCGATATACAATTCTATCATCGTCAGGTCTATCAAAATTAAAATTAAAATCTGGTGTATCTGTTGCTCTGCTTATATTGCTTATGTTTTATCCGTTTTTATTACATCTCCAGGCTTCTTTCATTTAATTTTGGAGACGCGCCTGGGTGCCTATATCGGGTTGTGTGTGAGGTGCGTGTCCGTTGTTATTGAATGGCAGACAGCAACTCTCTATCAAAATTAAAATTAAAATCTGGTGTATCTGTTGCTCTGCTTATATTGCTTTTGTTTTTATCCGTTTTTATTACAACTCTGCTCTGTTGCTGTCTGCCATTCAATAACAACGGACACGCACCTCACACACAACCCGATATAGGCACCCAGGCGCGTCTCCAAAATTAAATGAAAGAAGCCTGGAGATGTAATAAAAACGGATAAAACATAAGCAATATAAGCAGAGCAACAGATACACCAGATTTTAATTTTAATTTTGATAGACCTGACGATGATAGAATTGTATATCGAAACATGTCGTCAATTTTAAAATGTAACAATTTTATGTGAAATTTTATATGATTTTTAACAATAAGCTTGTGTAACGACGGAAAATAAAAGTATTGTATAGCTGTCTTTATAATTACTCTATTTCCCGTTAGTGGGGAAGTTACACAGGTGAAGCAGGTTTTGCTGTGCCTGGCAATAATCCAGTCTGCCTTATGCTTAGGGGCTGAGTTTTACTGCGTATAATTCATATACAATTAATAATACAAATTCTCAGACACTGACAAAAACCTTCAGTGACATTTTAAGTTTTAAAACAAGTCACAGAAACAGTAATAAAAATACAGTGTTACTTAGTCATAGCAATCCCAATCTTATAATGGAATAAAAGTAACATATTTAGATGACAGCCAATTAATGGTCATGATATGAACAGAAGAACAGCAGAAAAGCCAAAGCATAATTGGACTGACCCCAATGGCCGCTTGGTTCCCCTGTGCTGTCATGCCAGTCCTGACAAATAATAGAAACATTACGCAGCCAGCGACAGCAGCAAACGAATTGGGTGACAGCATAACTCGTTGATTTCAGATTGTGATGTACTTGTGTGTTGCTTTTAACAGAGTGGCGCAGTTCTGCATCCACAGACAAATGTCATTCTTGTAAATTAAGATTTCATCAGTATATTTCTTTGAAACAAAATTGTGCATGCTCAGAAGTTTTATCATTGCGACGTTAATGGTTCACCGGAACTGGACCTGTCAGTTAAAATTAAGATTATGAGTGAAAAGGGCAGTTACGTGTGCACTCTACAAACTTATCACATTCTGAAGTTCAACCATCATTCAAAAGAAAATGGCAGTAATATTTAAGATGAAGATGTCTGTCTTCTGGGTTATTGCGCTGTGTAGTCTGGTCGATGTTAACATCGACCAGACTACACAGCGCAATAACCCAGAAGACGGACATCTTCATACTCACCGCTGTGAGAACCTCAAGTCTTACAATATTTAAGATACTCATCATTCAAGCAAACATTCCTCAAAATCACTCATAATGCAGATAAAATAAAATTTAAGCAAGCTGATAGATTAAAATGGGTTATTTTGTCATGGGGGGAAAGATAGTTTATGTTCCTATGATGTGATCTGAATAAAGTATTTTGCTTGTTTGTTTTGAATGTTCTACGAACCTTTGAGAAATCAAATGTAGTCCTTCAGTCAGATGTTCCCTGTATTCATTTATTGAGGCCAGTACTCTTCGGTGTGCTGACGAGTGAAATGTCAAACTTTGTAAGGCCAGCAATTGTTGAATCTTGTAATTCACTTTTGGAAGTAGAAGTAGGTAATCACAGCAGACAGAACTGAAAGAGTGACTGTGACATAACAGGAAGAAATTTCTGCTACCAGCATTGTGACCAGTCTGAAGGAGGAGTAGGAGGATATTTTGCCTCCATTTGGTAAGGTGCATGTCATAACATGACTGCTACTACGTTAATCTGCACTAGTAATCAGTAAGTCACAGATGTAATTGTAGTTGATATGTCTTGAAAGTGTAAGTTCCTGTGCAAAGATTTGATAAGATCAATTTCATTTATTTTACCTATTTTGAAAGTCAGAAGGAATGTGTTTTTAGTAGTAAGTATACTTCATTTGTTTCCCAGCAAATAAACAATTTCAGCTTTCATCCATAGACATTTCATCTTCAGCATTGTGAATATGCAGAGATGTGACAAATATCAGAGTATCTCTAAGACTCTTCATATCTCAGAGCTCTTTGTGAGAAATATGTAGAGATTTCACTTCAGATACTTGCTCGATGTTCTTTGTTCTTTATACATTTATCTTTGAAACTTCCTCATATCCTGAATTCAAAGAAATACACTGGCCTATTATTCTTTCTCCAGGCACTTCATACAAAACATGATAGATATCTGAATACATGTAAATGGGTGGGAAGCACGAGTATTTCTACACTAGACTAAGACTTCACTTTTCACAGGTGGCTGATCAAGCAGGATCTTTGTTTGGCTCTTGTTGCTTTGAAAAAGGTGATGTCAAGATCACCATGGGAACAGGGACATTCTTGAATGTAAATACAGGATGCAAGCCCCAAGCCTCACTGGCAGGTAAGTTTATATGCACTCACATTGAATCATCACGTATATGTGACAATGCATGTATGTGTACTTAGGTACATTATCATATTAATGTTATGTTTTAGCCTATTCAGGCTCCTAATGTAAGTTCTATCCTGATTTTTAGCTTGTAAAAATCCATCATTCTGATCCACATAACAGACTCAGTATTGCCATAATTTTATAGAATTTAAAACTCCAAACCAGAACCAAGTGGATAAACATTTTTAAATAGGCAAATAAACAATAAATGTATGGTTACATCTGTTTTAATAAGATCTCATTAAAGTGATGGTGTTGTATATTTTATGTAAAAGCTAGTTTGTATCTGTCTCTGAGATATTAATATTTAATATAGCCTTCATGTTAATAATTTGGCACTGACGCAGCAGTAATGAGGATTGTCTGATTTCACATGTAGACAATCACAAACAGTTTTGATTTATAGGATTTGAGGTTTTCACGGCAGTGAGTCTGAAGGTGGCTGTCTTCTGGGTTGTTTCGTGTAGTCTAGAAGAAGTTTACCGACGTTTCTGAGGTCCTTGCTGTCTCCAACATCAGTGCGATGAGTAAGCCGCACGAGTGGAACTGCTAGTTAAGGAAGAGCCTAACCCTAGGCAGTACGGACTGGTATCAGAATCAGGCGAGGGCGAGGGCGTGGGAACCAGTAGGAGCGTGGGGGTGTGCCATAGCTTGAGAGAGAGAGAGAGATGTAGAGAAGGAAAGATAGAGATCCAAGAAAGTAGCTCTTTTAGGGGCTCCTCAGAGTCCGTCCGGTGGATCACGGGACATACAGGAGGTGGGTGGACGTGATTAGGAATCAGGAGAGTGGACATGAACACTGGCCGGGGCCGGTTGTGCCCTGAAAAGGGCAGAGTAGTGGCTTAGTGGCCTGGGCAGAATTGTCAATGCTGTATGGGATGCTTACCGATTCGTTTTAGAAAGTGAATGAGGGGCTTCCATGACCGGCTCAGGAAAAGACCACCCTCCCTGTTCAGATTGTTCTGAACAGCTGTCATGAAGAACAAGATGTGTAGTTTTTTAGTAAAATTATATTTGTTTAGATTTTTATAAAGTCCCCTGAACACGGTTGTAGTTACAATGTTGTACAGTTGGTTACAGTGATATGCGGTTTTAGTTCCTCATGCGGTTGCTTCCTATTATATAAATGCATGTCCTGTGTACAAAACATACCAGAAGTCAGTTTGCAGTTCTGTTTCAGGTCTGTACCCACAGATTGGCTGGCGCCTAGGAGATGAAATTGTGTTTGTGATGGAAGGTGCCTCACATGACACTGGTTCTCTAATCAAATGGGCAGAGCAAATAGGTAACATTATCATACAAAACTTCTTACTCTGTAGGATCCTCCATATATATACAATATATATATAATTTATTCTTTCAGGTCTCATTTGTGCACTTTTATACTGGCAAATCTTCATATTTTAAGACTTCTAATATTTTATATAAAACGTTTTGAAGGAAGAGGGAACAAATTATGTCATTGAAATAATTTGTTTGCCTTTGTTTGAGAACCTTTGTGACATAGTGAAGTGAAATTGGGAAGTGGTGAAGGAGTTCATTTCAGTATCTGTTTTTAAATTTTGCGAATTATTCTAATTATATTAATACTGGGATACTGGGAACTACCCGTTCTTCAAGTGCCTGAACACTGCGGGTCCCAACTTTTCATTGGCTTGATCTATGGACATTCGGTAGGACTCCTTGGACAAGGGATCGGCCCGTCACAAGGCCTCTACCTGTACACAGGACAGCACAACACAGAAAAACGTGGACAAACATCCATGGGTTGAGTGGGATTCGAACCCACGGTCCCAGTGACCAAGCGGCACAAGGCCTACGCCTCAGCCCGCGCGGGCACTGCGGACCCCAATTATATTAATAAAGTATTAAATATGCAAAATGGTGAGGAAAATATTTATACCGATAGCTTTGAATTAAATCAGCAATTGAGGAAATTACATAGTGAATAACTTTTTCAATTTTATTTTTGTTAAATTGTGGAGGCTCTTATGAAATCTTTTGGAGAGCAGCCACTTAGAAAACCATAACAGATTTGGGAAAATATTCTTATTAACCTTTTTAATCTGTGCATTACACAGTTGACTGTATGTCAGACTAGCATACCATTAAACTGTTAATCCTGGAGGTAAAATGTGAC